CGAGCCGAGCGGCGCCGCACTCACTCGCGCTGGCAGCGGCGCGCGCACACCCGCGGGCACCGCGCGCCTTCCCCTCGTGCACACCGGCAGGAGCGCGGGGAAGCGGAGCCGGGAGCCCGTGCTCGCCCTTGTTGGTTCTGCTCGCTCTCCCAGGACGCACGCGGGGGTGCCAGATCTCTCCGAGCACGTAGGAGCGTGTGCAGACGCTCGGCACAAGCGTCCCCTGGCCCACACTTGCGGGACACACACAGACACGCACCCATACGGAGCTGGCTGAGGCTGCCGTGGTACAGGACGCCCCCGGCACACACCCGCCCGGCGGGACACACAAACACGCCCCTGGACGTGATCGGGGGACTCCGAGCGCAGCCCTCCCCCCACCCCACTTCAGCGGGACACACGGCCACACTCCTAGGAGTGTGGGGACAGGTTGCTGCCACACCGCTAGGACATGTACATCCTCAGTGGTCCAAGGTCATTGTGGGCACAGTGTGTTCACACTTCCTCTCAGGTCACACGCAGACTCTACACCCTCTCCGTCAGCCTGAGCCAGTCCCTCACACGGTTAGTGAGCCGCTCGAGGATCCCGTCCCCCCTCTCCCCATGGGCACAGGGTGCGTGAGAACCTTGAGGGGTCAGGAGAGCGGAGAGCAGCCGGGCGCCTGGGCAGAAGACACCTTCCCAGAGAGTGATGGACGGGGCAGAGGTGCGGAGGCAGGGCGCCGCCTGCCAGGGGCTCCGGCCTCCCAGGCGGTCAGACAGCTCAACGAATCTGGACAGCCCAGCCCCAGTGCTTTCCGGGAACGCAGCTCTGGGGGAATGGCAGCTGCTTACGCAGGTGTGTCTCCGGAAAGCCCGGGGCCGGGACAGAATCCTGTTTACTCCCTGGTGTCTAGTGACACACCAGAAATGCTTATCTTCTTGGCTGGGTCCCTTCCATGAGCCTGGATGAGGGGCCCCAAGCCTGCGTCCCTCCCTCCACCGTAACCCCTTGAAAGGGGTGGGGAGCAGAGAGAAGAGAGAAGAGACCCTTTCTCATCACTTCAGCTGCTACGTTCTGACAGATCCTTTGAGCTCTTTGAACCTCAGTTTTCTCGGCTGTGAAATGGGGCTAATTCCAACCTAACAGCATTATGGTGAGGCCCCTGCTAGCACAGAACAGGACAGATCAGAGGCGCTCAAGAGCGTTGGCTTTCTCTTCTCCCTTCCCTTGGGAGACAAGTCTCACTGGTGAGAAATGATGGGAGAACCATATGCTGTTTTGTGGTCGGTTCTGCCCTGGGTGGTGGCAGTCACTCTGCTGTATCAAGAACATTCACAGCGCTCATCGCATTGATTCCTTACATTATTCCTTACAGGATACACTGTTCTCATGTTCAGGTGAGGAAATTAAAGCTCAGGCACAGGGGCACCTAGGTGTCTCAGTTGTTAGGCGTCTGCCTTCGGCTCAGGTCATGATCCCAGGGTCCTGGGATTGAGCCCCGCATCAGGCTCCCTGCTCGGCGGGAAGCCTGCTTCTCCCTCTCCCACTCCCCCTGCTTGTGTTCCCTCTCTCGCTGTGTCTCTCTCTCTGTCGAATAAATAAATAAAATCTTAAAATAAATAAATAAATAAAGTTCGGGCACACTGACTTACCCACAGTGACTGCTGGCTTGTAGTAGAGCTGGGATGAGAAACCCAGGTGTCCTGACGCCCCCCTCCTCTGCCTCTTCCTCCCCACCCCTACAAAGCTTGAGGGGTCAGAGCAGAGCTGGGAACGCAGGTAAAATGTTGTCCCCCAGACAACAGAGCTCTTCCTGAGCTTCTGGGATGGAGACAGCCCAAATTAAGGAGGAAGAGGAGGGTTAGAGGGAGGGGGCCAATAGCCTCAGGGGTTACGGTGGGAATGAACCCACCTGGGGGCTCCCTAAGGACAATCTGGGATCCTGGTGGGAGAAAAATCCAGCCTTCCAAGAGTCAAAGGCCAAGGGAAGGACAGGAGAGCCTGGAAGCCTAACACAGTGGGTTTAATAGGCACAGAGTGACTTCTGTGCCCAGGTGCTGCTTTACAGAGTGATTATGTAATGATACGGGTATTAAAATACAGACACTGAACCATCATTTCATAATTCCTTCACTTGAGGAGAAAGAGAGTGCTGTCGTCTTTTTACAGTTGGGGAAACTGAGGCTTCAGGAAGTCAAGTGACTGGGAATGAGTGTGCATATCCTGACCCCTGACCCTGTGCCCTTTTGACATCAAAGGTATACCTCTGGGGGCGCCTGGGTGGCTCAGTCGTTAAGCGTCTGCCTTCGGCTCAGGTCATGATCCCAGGGTCCTGGGATGGAGCCCCGCATCGAGCCCTGCATCGGGCTCCCTGCTCAGTGGGGAGTCTACTTTCTCTCCCTCTGTCCTTCCCCCTGCTTGTGCTCACACTCTCTCTCTAATAAATAAATAAAATCTTTAAAAAAAGGTATACCTCTGTGCTCAGTGGGGGTGGGAATAGAAGGGCGCTGACCTCTCCCTCTGGCCTCTTGACCTGTGGGGCTGGCTTTTTGGAGGATCAACTCACAGCTTTTGGCTCTGCAGCTGCTGGCTCTCAGAGGGTCTGGAAGAAGTGAAGCAGGCCCAGCCTCCAAAGCACTGAGTCAGGGAGCCTTGGGATGTCCCTTGGAGAAAGAGGTGGCATATGTGGGGCCTTCCTCCCGCAGGTGGCAAAATAAAAAGCCACTCTGAGGTCTGAGTTCCTCCAGCTCTGAGCCCCACTGAAATGGGGTAGAGTCCCCTGGAGGGGTAGAATTGGTGTTATCTGGGCAGGCGTCCATTTTCTAGAAAGTATGCGCTGGGAGTCAGGCAAATTTGGATTCAAAACCGGTGTCTCCCAGCTCCTAGGTGTGTCTGACTTTGGGCAAGTTGCTTCACTGATGAGGATGGATATAAAGTGCCCGGCATGCAACAGGCACTCAGTCAATTATAATTCTCTTGCCCCTACCTTCTTGGTGCAAACCATCTCCATATCCCCTGTGCCTGCCTCAGTTTCTCTACCAGTGAAGTGCAGTGGGCCACACCCTCTTCTTGTCTGTTACAAAGACCGGGTGAGGATGCTTGGAGAAGTGAATGCACTTGCCAAGGCTGGGGTGCCGGCTGGCAGGAATGAGGATCTCTAAGCCGCTGGACCTGTCCAGACCCCATCATGTTGGGGTGCCCATGAGCCTTCCATGTTGGCAGCTGGATCGGCCCTTAACAAAGTTAAGTGGGACAGTCTGCCCTTGGTCACAGCCCTCAGGAACCCTGGGCCCACGCTGCCCCGCCACACCTGCTTCTAACAGGCTTCTAGCAACCCCGTCCAATGAGGTAGAAGTGGGTTCCTTGAAGGATGGCCCAGGGGTCTGTACCTGCAGGACGCTTGTTAATAACGCAGATTCCAGGTCCCTACCTCACACCCACTGACTCAGATATGTGTGAAGACTCAGGATGCATCTTTTTTTTTTTTTTAAGATTTTATTTATTTGCGAGAGAGATAATGAGAGACAGAGAGCATGAGAGGGAGGAGGGTCAGAGGGAGAAGCAGACTCCCTGCTGAGCAGGGAGCCTGATGTGGGACTCGATCCCGGGACTCCAGGATCATGACCTGAGCCAAAGGCAGTCGCTTAACCAACTGAGCCACCCAGGCGCCCAAGACTCAGGATGCATCTTAACAAGCACCCCTGAATTATTTTTATGCACAGTTATTTTTATGAGAATCGCTCGGTTAGAAGGTGCTGAGGTTTAATACAGTGATTCTCAACCCGTTTTGCTGCTTCCACACTGTTCAGTGTGAAACACCCAGGTGGGGGTGGGTGTTGGGATTTCTAGAGTGCTCTGGCAAAGTCCCACACACACCACTTTGGGCATTGTGACTTCTTTCCTGGCTGAGAATGACCAGTTAAAGCCTTTCCTTCCAGGAAGTGACAGGCATCTTAGAGGAAATGATCCTGCACTTGGCTAAATGTCCTTGGTTGGCATCTCTGGCTGGCTGGGGTCCACGGGCCTGGGGAGGAAGGGCCCTCCCTGGCCCTGGCCTGACATGTACCCCCAATTTCCACTCTTCCCGGATTGCTGGAGGAACTCTTGGCATGTTGTGCTGAACGAACCTTCTCTATATTCATAGGACTCTTTTACCCAAAAGAGGGGCTGATGGAGGAATTCTTAGCACCGTGGCTGGTTGACGGAGATGCCTTCCGGGGGCTCTTGAGAATCCATACTTTTCCAAGTATTTATTGAGCCCCTCCCCTGTGGCAGGCCCTGTGTTAGTTCTGCAGGGGGCCTGGTGATGAAGTTCCGTTTTTCTTTAGATTCTAGTGATGGAGGGCAGACCGATGCCCCCTCCTTGCCCCACACGGCGGCCTCAGTGCAGGAGTGGTGGAGGGCCGAGTAAGTGAGGCCCTGCGTCTGCAGGGTAGCCCTGTGGCTGCTGAGGGGCACACTGGGTGTGGTCATTTATTATGCACATTCTCATAAACACCTTACACACATTTACTAGCATTAGGCCTACTAGTGGGGAAAAGGTAACACTTACCAGATGATGTTGTTTTTCAGATGTCAGGTGTTCCTGGAGCTGCAGGGAAGGGCTAAGTGGCTTAGAGATGCTCGTCACCTCCCCCTTCGGGGGCACCTGTCTGGTGCTGTGTGGACCACAGATGTGTGAGCCCCTCACCCGCCCCCCTCCATTCCCGTGTGAGGAAACAGGCCTGCGGAGATGGGGGACTGGCCCAAGGTCACACGAGGCAGAGCTGGGACACACCCAGCAGTTGGGTGGAAGGATCACGGCTCGGTCTCCCTCCCTGCAGGGTGGGGTCTGCGCTGCTAGACGGGAAGGAGACCCAGGTGAGAGTCTCACCTGCCAGGAGGGGCTGAGCCTCGGATCAGGCTGCCTCTGGCAGAAGATTGGATGCCAGCAAAGGATAAGGCTGAATCCTTAGGGGCAGCTCCAGAAATGACCTGCTAGAGGACAGGGGTGTAGCCTGAGGCTTGGGAGACAGCACAGATGAGGGAGGGCCCCCACCACCCTGGAGCCGGCGGGGCCCAGGGTCTTGTCTGAGTGTCTCTGGGACCGGGGTGGCCATGTCAGCATTAGGGGAGGTTAGAATGGGCAGGAGCTCTTACTGGTAATGTTGAAACCCAGGTCAACAGCTGCAAATGTTCCCTCAAACAGCTTTATATTAATGATGCAGTTCAGGGCGCCTGGGTGGCTCAGTCATTAAGCGTCTGCCTTCGGCTCAGGTCATGATCCCGGGGTCCTGGGATGGAGCCCTGCATCGGGCTCCCTCCTTCTGGGGAAGCCTGCTTCTCCCTCTTCCATTCCCCCTGCTTGTGTGTCTTCTCTTGCTGTGTCTCTCTTTGTCAAATAAATAAATAAATCTTAAAAAAAAAAAGAAAGAAGTTCATTTTAAAAAAATGATGCAATTCAGAAAGCATTCACAGTGCAAATGGTGGATTCCAATTTTAATTCATTCTACTTTTAAAGTTCAGGTAACTCGTTTTACTTTTTAAAATTTATGAAATAGGGTGCCTGGGTGACTCAGTCATTAAGCGTCTGCCTTCGGATCGGGTCATAATCCCAGGGCCCTGGGATCGAGCCCGCATCAGACTCCCTGCTCAGTGGGAAGCCTGCTTCTCCCTCTCCCACTCCCCCTGCTTGTGTTCCCTCTCTCACTGTGTCTCTCTCTGTCAAATAAATAAAATATTAAGAAAAATAAAATAAAATAAAACTTATGAAATATTTCAGTCATACAAAAAAGGCCCAGAGGATAATCTAAAGACTGCTTAAACCCACCAGCCAGCTTAGAAATAAAACATTACAGGCTCCTCAAAAAGCTAAACATCCAATTACCACAATTAAAAGAAAATACAGGTGGATTTGAAATGCCCCGATATTCCTCCCCCATTCCATCGCTCTCCCCAGAGGATGTCACTAGCTCGAATTTGATAATCATCACACACGTGTCCATTTTTACGTTTACTAAATGCATATGCATCTGTAAACAATGCATGGTATTGTTTTGCGTGTTTTAAAATTTCATATAAATGATATCATATGGTACATATCCTTATTCAACTGATTTTTTTCACTTACTATGGTTTGTGAGATTTATTCCTGTGGTTGCATGTAGCTGTAGCTTATTTGTTTTCATCACAGTGTAATATTCCACTGCGTGAACATGGCACAACTTTTTTTTTTTTTTTTAAGATTTTTATTTATTTATTTGACAGAGAGAGAGACAGCGAGAGAGGGAACACAAGCAGGGGGAGTGGGAGAGGGAGAAGCAGGCCTCCTGTTGGGCAGGGAGCCCGATGCGGGGCTCGATCCCAGGACCCTGGGACCATGACCCGAGCTGAAGGCAGTCACCTAACCGACTGAGCCACCCGGGCGCCCCCATAGCACAACTTCTTTCTCCTTTTTCCCACTGTTGGACATTCAGGCTGAATCCCATGCTTTGCTATTGCTATAAACCCGTTGTCATGGACATTCTTATTTCCTGGCCCACATGTGACAGTACTTTTACAGTTCCCCAGAGAGGGAATTGCTGGGCAGAAGGACACAGGTAACTTTAGCTGGACAGGGTAGCACCCCAGTGCTCTCCAAAGCCGTTATGACCATTTCCATTCCCTCCAGCCTTGTGTAAGAGTCCTTCTTTCTCCACATCCGCATCACATGTGGTGTTTCCAGACCTCACTTTTTGTTAGTCTGATTGCTGAGAAAGGACATCTCGTTGTACTGAACTCGTTCTCCTTGCTTACTCACCGCTCTTAAACCTTTGTTGCGAAGGGTGGGCGTGTGCTGCCAATAGATAAATGTAGAAAATTGAAAATTGAAGAGTTTCTATCAGTACGGGGGTAGGTCAAATACAGAAGGAGTCACCTGTGTGGTGGAATAATGTGCAGCCATCAGGAAGCACAAGGCAGCTTATGAGTCCTGATATGGAAGATCCATTGATATTCTGAGGCACTAAAAACCTTTTCGCCTCAGAAGTACGGTTAAATTAAAAAAGAGGCATAAAGAGGGGCGCCTGGGTGGCTCAGATGGTTAAGCGTCTGCCTTCGGCTCAGGTCATGATCCCAGGGTCCTGGGATCGAGTCCTGCATTGGGCTCCCTTCTAGGCAGGGAGCCTGCTTCTCTCCCTCTGCCTCTGCCTCTCTCTCTTTCTCTCTGACTTTCATGAATTAAAAAAAAAAAATTAAAAAAAAAGAGGCATAGGGGCGCCTGGGTGGCTCAGTCGTTAAGCGTCTGCCTTCAGCTCGGGTCATG